GGTTTTATGTTTTTATTGTGTTGTGTTCAGCACCTTGGGCGCAGAAGGGGCTTTATAAGTAAATGAAATGAAATGAAAATGAAAATCTCCGTCTCATTTTGCAAAGACACAAAATCAACCAAGAGTGAAGCAACGGTAGAAAAAAGAAAACAAGAAGAAAGGATGTCGAGTTTCGCTCAAAATACACAAAAAGTGACGAAAGGAACCAAAAACAGCTCTGAACCCGTTGTGAAGGCGTTCGTTTTTTTGTGTTGATTCATCCTCTGGTTGCGTCATCTTAACGACTAAAAGCTTTTTCTACCTCTACAGACGAACTCTCTGCCTTTCATTCACCAATTAGAACACGAAGAACAAGGAAACCTACTTGCTAAGTAGAAGCTTGTTGTAATTTTAGATCAGTCCGTACATAAAGTAGAGCAGAGACGTGTCCACTCAGAGAGCCGCTCCGGCGTCGCTCATAAATCAGAGTAATCCCGGCCTCCCAGCTCCAGATGAATGTTTCCTCCCAGAGAGGAAACAAGATTCTTAAACCGTGATAATATTATCCAGCTGGAGGGAAAGTGAAACCAATCACTCCCGTTTTCCTCCTCAGCGCCAATTCTGAGCCATCGCCGTGTGAAGAGAGGCTCCAGATTGCCTTTGAGGGATGAGGGAGAAGACGCGTCTTCTCGGTGGCGGAAGCTGCTGCTGCGGCTCCTATGAGAGGAGAAAAGCAGCGAAACTAAAGCGTCGCCTGGATGTGATTCGTCTTTGTTAACAAACACAGAAAAAGAAATATACAGCAAAGATAAATCCAGCAGATTAGCACTTTATTTCCTCCCCAGTGGTTCCAGCTGACCAATAAAGGGAAAAAAATGGCTCCATTCCAGCTGTGGCCTTGGTGGTTAAACTGACACTGAGGGATCGTTTTGTTCCCTTTGTGATGAAGGAATTCAAAAACACCTCTGAGTTTTGTTTTCTTCTGGGTGAATCAATTCTGAAAAGGCCTGAGCTAGCAGAAAACTCCGACCTCCGGGCCACTCATCGACGCCTCCAATCAGGGGGATCAGTGGAAGCGTTTCCACGGGCCGTCGTCGCCATCGATCTTTATTGGATTTACCATGATGTGGTTTCTGTTCTATCTGCAGCTCCAGGAAGGCTCGGCGAGGAGGCTGCGCCGCTCATCGACTGTGTTAAATAACAGACTAACAGATAATTGAACAGTGAGCTGAAGATGTTTCTCTCTCGGATTAATCGAGACGTGAAAATGTGTTAAGAAAAGCAGCCGATCCGCATTAAGACGCATCCGCTTCACTTATTTCTATAATTGGTCTGCAGTAGAGGATCAGAGAGGGCTTCAACCAGCCGTCCCATCTCTAACCTCATTTATCTCCTGGATCCCTCATCCTGTAAATTACACTAAACATTTTTAATGATTATTTCTGATTCTAACGGGTCATTCTGAGTTTTTCATGCAGGCTGAACAAGAAAATAGTCTCCTACACCTATCTCCTGCGTTAGCTTCTGATAGAAAACAGACGCTGAAACTCTAGGACGAGAAAATCCTGACAGATCTACGTCACACTGTCACTTAACATTCACGGACTCACCCATCTTCGCTCACGACGGAGAGGGCTGTTGTTGGTTTAGCGTCCAGGAAACAGCAGAGAACGTGTCTGCTAGTAGACGCTAACCGTTCGCATTAGCAACTCCACCACACAGCAGAACTCCTCCAGGCTTGTGGGTATTTGTGGAAATAAAACATCAACTTTGCAGAGCAAACACAGTCAGTGTTGAATTGTGTTGCTGTTAGCCAATCAGAAGCAAGATGTTCAGATATTAAGACACAAATGTCCAAATCCTGTTGGATGAAGCTTCTTTCGCCTCTGATTGAATTCTCTGTGCTGAAACGGGTGCACCGGAGCTTTTTTCCCCTGGAGTACGAATTACAAGGCATTCATTCCTACTACAGACCACTGCAGATGTATCAGAAATACGAGTGACTACAGATGAATACAGATACATGTTGATGTTACCAGTAAAGAGAAAAACAAGAAGCCTTGGGGTGTTGTGATGTTTACTGACATTAACAAAAATATTCTGTTTTCACCTAACATGAATAATTCAATCCAAGTCAGCTGTAGGTGTATATTGTGTATTTTTGTAACTTGAGTGTATGTCAGGATCTGGGGTGAGTCTGCACCTTCTGTTAATCAGCCTCAAGTCGTTGCAGGTGGGCGGCTCCGGAGAGCGGCCAGCTGCTGTGCTTTTCCCCATCACCTGCCAGCCTTTATAAGGAGCTGGAGATCACTTCACCTCGTCGGAAGATTGCTCACTTTGGGTAGCTTTACCATTATAGAGTTAACTATAGCTTTAGTCCTTGTTTTTGAGCTTACTATCAGTCGTAGTTTTTGAATGTACTCCGCCTTGTCCCCACCTGGAACTCTCACCTCTGACCGCTTATGCAATAACCTGGATTTCACCTCGGAGCCTGATCTCCCTCCACACCTGGACCGACCCGCTCTCCCACCGCTCACCTTCCTTGGATTTCGTTTCACCACAGACGTTGCTCACCCCAGTCCTGTATACCCTCCCAAGCTATTGGATTTCAGCTCCACAGTAAAAACCACAGAAACTGAGTCCTCCTAGTTCGGTTCCACTCTGTCCAAAACCCTGACCAGTGTTCGTCTCAGCAGAACCAGCCCCGGAGCTGTGCTCAGCATCACCGCCACGTCTGGCGGTGCACCTGTAGTTTCCTTAAAAGGTTAGCAAAGAAAGAATAAAACATTTATTTTCTTCTTACCTATGTCTCCTAGTGTGATTCTGCATGTCTTGGTTCAGGAAACTCCCCCCAGTCATGACAGTGTATTTTAAATAAATTATTTTATGTGACCAGATTATGTTTATTTTCTATTTGCAAACACATCCAAAACCTGTTAGTCTTTCACGTTTTAGGACAAATTATAGAACGATTGGATTTATATCGGGTTCTAAAACATTCTGATATAAAACACACTGATTACATTTATTTTTAAAGAAATGACCAAGATCAAACAATTGTTTCCATTTCCACACGTGGAGTCAAAACTCAGGTGGGTGAAAGAAGTCAGACACTTCTCTGCATTCTGCCTTTATAACAAGCGAAGGGTTGTCTTCAGGCTCCAAGTAGAAACTGTTTTTATCTCAGAACTTTATGTTAATAAATTGAAATTAAGCTATGAAACCTGAGAGCATGCATCAACACCTGGAATGTATCTGAACTAATTCAATTAAATGAAAATGTTTAAATTTTTTGACATAAAAGGTCAGCAATTTTGTTCCTGCAGAACCAGCAATTCTGCGTGTTTCAAGAGTTTCCATCCAGCACCTGGTTTAAAGGTGTGGTTCACAGAAAATGCTTTAAAAAATGTTTTTTCTGATTCTAACGGGTCATTGTGAGTGTTTCATGCAGGCTGAGCATGAAAATAGTCTCCTACACCTATCTCCTACATTAGCTTCTGATAGAAAACAGACGGTGAAACTCTAGGTTTAGAAAAGCCTGACAGATCTACATCACACTGTCACCAACATTCATGGACTCACCCATCTTGACTCGTGACGGGGAAGGCTGTTGTTGGTTTAGCATCCAGGACACAGCAGAGAACATCTCGGTGAGTTTAAGCTAACCATTAGCATTAGCACCACACAGCAGAAGCTAGTCTTGGCTTGTGTTTTTGTGGAGATAAAACATCAGCGTTGCAAGTCCGTGGAGTAAAGTTGCTGTTATCCAATCCGGGGTGAGATGTTCAAAAATCAGGACGTAAAACTCAACCATGTGAAGCTCGGCTGTGAAGTGGGTCACTTCTAGTTCCTGGAAATGGTGCACCAGTATATGCCCCCCAAGAAAAACTTACAAGGCATTAATTCCTACTAGAGACCACCGCAGATGTATTGGTTAAACAAGCGTTCTACTCCAGTAAATATTAACAGGTTTTGTAGAACTTGATGCAGCAGTGAGCAGGTCATTCAGTAATGTAATCCAAAAGGGTTCAAATGAAGGCAACTGGACTTCTTTGGTTTCTTGTTGACATTTTGCTTCCCGATTGAGGAGCTTTGTCAGTTTTGACTGGAATATGGGAGAATCAAGTCTATAAGCTGTGGATGGAGGCTTAGGTTTAATCTTTCCAGTACCTACAATGCAGCTTTGAATCTCATTCCTAATGTGGCAAGGTGGAGAAACGACGGCCCGGGCGGGATTCAATTCCCAGACTCCCAGGTGAGAGTCACACGTGCTAACCAGTAAGCCAAAGGGATGTCCCCGTGGCCAAGTAGCCAGGGTGCATGATCAATCAGGATACAGTGACAGTACGCCCACTCTGTCACACTAAGCAGTCTCAGTCCAGGTCACACCTTCCTGCATCTTATCAACACAATGACTCTCTCATTAGAGGATAATCACTCATCGAGGGTAGAGAGGTGGGGTTTTCAGAGTAGTATCTGCTCATTAAACAACAATAGACAGCTACAGCATTTAAACTTGACTCCTCCTCCTTGACTTAGATGCAATGAAAATAAAATTAGTGTTAAGCAGCTTCTCAGTTTTTCGTGGAACAATTTAATTGAATTTCTGCATCAGAATGACACCAAAAGTTCGGGTACTAACTTTTTTGGCTCAATCTTTTCTATAATTTTGCACAAATATCAAGATCCCATTGCAAAACTATCCAAACACTTTTTACTAAAGTTGTTTTACTTCAAAACAAAAAACAACAGAACCCTTTTTTTTCTAAATGGCAAAACATCTCCTGTAGTTGATGTAACTGGAAGGGAAAAGACATTTTTACAGAGTAGGAGAACTGTATTTCCACTAATCCTCTTCCGTATGTATGAAACATTATGAATAGTTTTGTTTCTAAAGCTCCTGTAACCTTTGTGGCTGCAGTAACCAGGTGGACTGATAGCTGCAGGTGTAGAACATTTAGGACAGTTTGGGGACAGAGCCTGCTTTTTCGGGTACTGTCTCTTTAAGAAATATCATAACCACAGAAGTTATGCGCATGCGTACTTCGTGCAGTCAACCCCAACAATAAATGCCTCAACTTCTGTTTGCAGAAGTTTGTGTTTCTGTTCCTTGTGACGTTTTTTGTGACATGGTAAGATATGAAATAATATTTTATGTGTTTTTGTTGCTTTATGAGAAACTGGGGAGATTTAACGATGTGGAAACGGCTGGAAGGCGGTTGAAACAGGAAACGTGACGTTAGTTACTCTGAAAGTTAGCATGTTTAGTTCTGTCCTCACGCGTCACCTTGTTCGGTTCTTGTCAGCCGTTATAAAGTCCGATGGGGGAAGGTTTGTTTTTATGGAAGTGAATTAAATCATGAAAAGGTTGGATTTGTTAATCAGAGCATTTGGGATTTAGGTAGCCACATCATTGTTGTACTACACACACACACACACACACACACACACACACACACACCAGTGTTATTATGCAACGCCATTCAGTCTAATTTCCGCTGGGAATAAACATAATTTTGCAAGTAAAACATTTTCTAACTTAAATGTGTTTGAAGACAAAATACTTGCAACAGACTTAGTTTACTTTTACTGGTTTAAAAACATAAAATCCCCAACATCGTCCCACCTGACTCAGGGTATATTCTCACCTGATCATCTTTACATCTCAATCTACCTGAGGGATTATGGACCAGAACCTCAGGAACCAAAAGCAAGATTTAACAGATATGATGGATTAATCACAGTTTAATTAAAAGCTTTTGAAAATAAAAATGTTATATATCTGATTTTATGCTAAAGGATGACTAAATGTTTATTAAAAAAGGGAAAGTAATTTGTTTTGGGAAAAAACTAAACGGGAAAAAGAATTATAACAAACAGATAAAAGTAGAGGCTGACCAATGTGGTTTTTATAAGGCCGATACCGATCTTTAAAAAATTGTGCTGCTGATGGCCGATATCTAAACCCCATTATTAAGGCCCGTATTTTAGCAGCACATTGATTGTGAAAGACAACTGAACACTCACTGTGTGCAATATAAATGAAATAAGCCAATAAATCTCTTAGTTTTATATTTCAAGTTCAATAAATATTAACTCCAAACATTTTAAAAAGATGTGTTGGGGTCCTTCGAAATGTACAGGTACTAACTTCTTCTTCGGACTAACTTTTGTGTTGGAAAAACAAAGATTTAGCGGAAGCAGAGACAATCAAGTGGAACATTGACCATACAAAGGTGGACTATGACCAATAAGGTCAACACCGGTGAAACCTAGAATCTGAATTTGCTCAGAAAATTCCATCTTGAACTAAATAACCATTGAAATGCTGGACGCTCTCTGGCTTTAGGATTAAAGTGGTGGGAAAAAATCTGATATTTATTTAATTTTCGAGGCCATATGGGCCAGTCTTAAGCATATGAACTCCATCCGTTTCCTATAGGAACTCCAGCATCTACACTCCCACAGCTTCAACTAATCACAAGTTATAGAGCAAGTCACCCCCAAATCAACTTCTTTATTGCTGATAAACTATATAAATGAGTGTCTAACCATGCTGTAGTCACATACAGTAAATAATTCGGCACTCCATCCATCCATCCATCCATCCATCCATCCATTTTCATCCGCTTATCCGGAGTTGGGTCGCGGGGGCAGTAGCCTAAGGCGAGAGGCCCAGACTTCCCTCTCCCCAGCCACTTGAGCCAGCTCCTCCGGGGGAATCCCAAGGTGTTCCCTGGCCAGGTGAGAGACATAGTCCCTCCACCGTGTCCTGGATCTACCTTTAGGTCTCCTCCCGGTTGGATGTGCCCGGAAAACCTCACCAGGGAGCCATCCAGGAGGCATCCTGACCAGATGCCCGAGCCACATCAACTGCCTCCTCTCGATGTGGAGGACAGTGGGTCTACTCCGAGCCCCTCCCGAATGACCGAGCCTCTCACCCTATCTCTAAGGGAGAGCCTAGCCACTCTTCGGAGAAAACTCATTTCGGCCGCTTGTATCCGCAATCTTGTTCTTTCGGTCACTACCCAAAGCTCATGACCATAGGTGAGGGTAGGAACGTAGATCGACCGGTAAACCGAGATCTTCGCCTTCTGACTCAGCTCTCTCTTCACCACAACAGACCGGTACAACGCCCACATCACTGCAGATGCAGCACCAATCCGCCTATCGATGTCATGCTCCAGTTTTCCCTCACTTGTGAACAAGACCCCGAGATACTTAAACTCCTCCACTTGGAGCAGGACCTCATCCCTGACCCGGAGAAGACATTCTACCCTTTTCCGAATCAAGACCATAGTCTCAGATTTAGAGGAGCTGATTCTCATCCCAGCTGCTTCACACTCGGCTGCGAACCGCTCCAGCGAAAGCTGAAGATCACGTTCTGATGAAGCCAACAGGACTACATCATCTGCAAAAAGCAGAGACCTGATCCTCAGGCCACCAAAACGGATGCCCTCCACACACCTTGGCTGCACCTAGAAATCCTGTCCATAAAAGTTATGAACAGAATTGGTGACAAAGGGCAGTCTTGGTGGAGTTCAACTCTCACTGGGAATGAGCCCGACTTACTGCCATCAATGCGGACCAGGCTCTGACACCGATCATACAGCGACCTAACAGCCTGTATTAGAGGGCCTGGTTCCCCATACTCCTGAAGTACCCCCCACAGGGCCTCCCGAGGGACGTGGTGAAACGCCTGTAGACTGGTTGGGCAAATTCCCTCGCACCCTCCAGGATCCCCCTAAGGGTATAGAGCTGGTCAACACTGTAGATAGTGTTGTTAGCGCACTGCTTCCCACCCCCCACCCCCGAGGCGCCGGATGGTGGACCAGAATCTCCTCTAAGCCGTACGTAAGTCTTGCTCTATGGTCTCACCAAACTCCTCCCTTGCCCGGGTTTTTGCCTTGGCAACCACCCGAGCCGTGTTCCGCTTGGACTGCCGGTATCCGTCAGCTGTCTCTGGAGTCCCACAGGCCAAAAAGACCTGATAGGACTCTTTCTTCAGCTTGACAGCATCCCAAACCGCCGGTGTCCACCAGCAGGTTCAGGGGTTGCCACCACGACAGGCACTGACGATCCTGCGACCACAGCTCCGGTCGGCCGCCTCAACAATGGAGGCACGGCACAGGGTCCATTCAGACTCTTATTTCCCCCGCCTCCCCCGGAACATTTTGGAAGTTCTGTCGGAGGTGGGAATTGAAGCTCCTTCTGACAGGAGACTCTGCCAGACGTTCCCAGCAGACCCTCGCGATACGTTTGGACCTGCCTGCTCTGACCGGCATCCTCCCCCACCATCTGAGCCAACTCACCACCAGGTTGTGGTCAGTTGACAGCTCCGCCCCTCTCTTCACCCGAGTGTCCAAGACATGTGGCCGCAGTTCAGATGAAACAACAACAAAGTCGATCATCGAGCTACAGCCTAAGATATCCTGGTGCCAAGAGCACATATGGACACCTTTATGTCTGAACATGGTGTTCATTATTGACAATCCATGACTGGCACAGAAGTCCAATAACAAAACACCACTCAAATTCAGATCGGGGGGTCGTTCCTCCCAACCACACCTCTCCAGGTCTCATTGTCATTGCCCACGTGAGCGTTAAAGTCCCCCAGCAGAATGAGGGAGTCACCGGAAGAAGCGCTTTCCAGCACCCCCTCCAAGGTCTCCAAAAAGGGTGGGTAGTCTGAACTGTAGTTTGGTGCATAAGCACAGACCACAGTCAGAACCCGTCCCCCCACACGTAGGCGAAGGGGGGCTACCCTCTCATTCACTGGGCTAAACCCCAATGTACAGGCACCAAGATGGGGGGCAACTAGTATGCCCACCCCTGCTCTGCGCCTCTCAGTGGGAGCAACTCCAGAGTGGTAGAATGTCCAATCCCTCTCAAGGAAACTGGTTCCAGAGCCAGAGCCATGCGTTGAGGTGAGTCCGACTACATCTAGTCGGAACCTCTCAACCTCACACACCAACTCAGGCTCCTTCCTCACCAGAGAGGTGACATTCCATGTGCCAAGAGCCAGCTTCCGTTGCCGAGGATCAGACCGCCAAGGTCCCCGCCCTTGTCTACCACCCATCACACACTGCACCCGACCCCTTTGGCCCCTCCCATGAGTGGTGAGCCCAGGGGAAGAGGGACCCACGTTTCCTCTTCGGGCTGTGCCCAGCCGGGCTCCATGGGTGAAAGCTCGGCCACCAGGCACTCGCCAACGTGCCCCTCCTCCAGGCCTGGCTCCAGAGGGGGGCCCCGGTGACCCACGTCCGGGCGAGGGAACACGGTTTCCATTTATATTATTCATCATCAGAGGTCTTCGGGCTGCTCTTTGTCTGATCCCTCACCTAGGACCTGTTTGCCATGGGTGACCCTACCAGAGGCAGAAAGCCTCAGACAACTTAGCTCCTAGGATCATTGAGACACTCAAACCCCTCCACTACGGTAAGGTGGCAGCCCAGGGAGAGGGCTGCCACCTTACCTCTTAGATAAGAAAATAAATATTCTGCTTGAAACTGTCAATGTTGCGCAGTTGTCAGGTAAAAACTCTGCATTGCATTTAAATTTCATCTTCCATTGCTATAGGCTAGGAAGTACACTATGATGTCAGCGGGCACCATATGAGGTCACAATGTTGTGTGTGTGTGTGTGTGTGTGTGTGTGTGTGTGTGTGTGTGTGTGTGTGTGTATTTGTTAGGAAACAGTCAGAACAACAGAAGCATTGACTGACGTTACTGATGAATAATGAAGATGGCGGCGCCAGCAGTGGGCACGGCGACGCATCTCTCAGCCTTCAGATTCTTGCTGCTTTTATATGTTCTGAATGTGTTTTTGGCATCTTTTCATTGTGTTCCTGGCCTTCTCGTTTATGATCGCCAGACACTTTTTGAAATCAAGGAATCCTACAAGCTTTTTTTGGAATAATTTTTTTACTGGGAGGATGCTCATCAAACCTCCCTCCTCCACCTGTCGTCTCAGCCGCTCCCGCCTCTCCTCCTTCGGTCGCAGGCTCTCTCTGGCGGAGGCCTCGGAAAAGGGGATGGCGCTCAGGTGTGCTTGTCAGAATTGGAGCTTATCAGCGGTCATGCGGAGGATTGTCTGGAAAATTAAGCCGTCGATGGATCCAGCCGATCTTCCT